ATAGAACATGCATAGACACTTCAACAAGGAAGACATTCAGTCAGCCAACTAACACAGAAAGAAATGTTTATGATCGTAATCCATTTTTGTTAAGTGTCATGGAGTCAATTCTGAAACAGATACCGTGTACCAGGTTTCTGAAGAGTGGCTGGTAAGTTTGAACCACAGACCTTGTGGTACAATCCAACTTTGCAGTCCAGTGCTTACTCAACAGCGCCACACCAGGACTACACATTGTTGTTGTTAGGTGCCGTTGAGTCCTTACTGACTCATAGCGACCCAATGTACAACAGAATGAAACACTGCCCAGTCATGGGCTAACCTCACAATTGCTATGCTTGAGCCCATTGATATTGCCGATTTGTCAATCATCTCGCTGGAGTCTTCCTCTTTTTCTCTGACCCTCTACCTTACCAAACATGATATCTCTCTCCAGTGACTGGTCCCTCCTGTCAATAAATCCAAAGTATGAGAGACGAAGTCTGTCCATCTGGCTTCCAAGGAGCACTCTGATTATATTTTATCCAACACACATCTATTTGTTCTTTTGGCAGTCCATAGTACTTTCAATATTCTCCTCCAACACTATAACCCAAATGCATCAATTCTTCTATAGTTTTCCTTATTCACTGATCAACTTTCACATGAGATTATTGAAAATACCACAGCTTGGAGATGGGGCTTAATAGCAGATTAGGTCAAAGTGTGGTATAGACCTCTGCCACCAGTAAGACAGAACACTAGACAAAGCAGGTTCAGGGGACTGTTCCAGAACTCTTAACTCCATATAAATGAATATTGAGAAAGTTCAAAGGTTTACAGCCAGTGGAATTCATAGGAGAAGCAAGAAAGGTGGTGTTTTCTGATTCATGGCTTCCAGCAGCTCCCAGAGCAGCCATCTTGGGCATGACGGAGCAGGTGAAGGATCATAGGGACACTTCCACCCCTGAGGTATGACGGAACCTCAGAGATAAAGGTGTGGACCTTCTTTTTTGTCTCTGTTCATTGGTCTCTCGCTGTCTGTGCACCTCCACACTGGTGGCTAGAGGAGGTGCCTGAGTAAGTGGATACGTCCCCACCCCCAGAGGGTTCTACTACGCATGCACATGGATATGCTCAGCAAAAGCAACTAAGAAGGAAGAAGATACTGCTCAAAACCGAGCGGTCTCTTCTAATGCCAGCGCCGCCTCTAGCTCGCCAAGCTCCAGCTAAAGCAGAAGGGGGGTTAAGTGAAGAGGTCTCTATACCCTGGCTTGTACAAAGCAGACTGCCTGTAAATCAACAGGTGGGAAAGCACCCAGGATGCAACTGGCTACAAAAGCTGCTCTTAAGAGTGTGCCCTCTGCTGCAGGGGTTAAGAAATCTCATCGTTACAGACCTGGAACTGTGGCGCTTTGTGAAATTAGACGTTATCAGAAGTTCACCGAACTTCTGATTCATAAATTTCCCTTCCAGTGTCTGGTGAGAGAAGTAGCTCAGGACTTTAAAACAGATCTGCACTTCCAGAGTGCAGTTCTTGGTGCTTTGCAGGAGGCAAGTGAGGTCTATCTGGTTGGCTTTTTTGAAGACACCAACCTGTGTGCTATCTATGCCAAACATGTAACAATTATGCCAAAAGACATCCAGCTAGCATGTTGCATAAGTGGAGAACGTGCTTAAGAATCCATTATAATGGGAACATTTTCATTCTTTATGGGGTCAAAAGGTACCTAAGTATATGATTGCAAATAGAAAAACAGGGACACAAATCAGATATTAGCAGTTTTTTCATTTTAATGTGTGTGAATTTTTAATATAAACGTGGGGACATAAAGCATTAATGCAAGTTAAATGTTTTAGTGAACAAGTTTCAGCCGTTCAAGTTTATAACAATTATAAATCAACCTGTTAAAATTTTCTGGACAATGCCAGCATTTGGATTGTTTTAAAACAAGTAAATTTCTTATTGACGGCAACTAAATGGTGTTTGTAGCATTTTTATCATACAGTAGGTTCCATCCATTTACTATACTTTTCTGAATTGTCCTACATGCAAGTACATGTTTTTAATGTTGTCTGTCTTCTGTGCTTTTCCTGTAAGTTTGCTATTAAAATGCATAAAACTTAAGAAACAAACAAACAACCAAGTGGTCTCCCAAAACAGCTACAGCTCACTCTGATCTGATCAAAAAAAGTCGTGATTAGGGGCTGTGGAGTGGGAGAGAGACAGACTAAAAGGGTAATATGCCAAA